AGATAAGATGTATACACAAATAATACAATTCCAGACAGAATGTAACAGGTATAAAGAGTTATCCAGGCAAAATGCTATTTGAAAATCTGAACTTGGGAAGATCCATTTCAGCTGAAGAGATAAGGGAAGCTTTGAGGAGGAGATACCAATTTGCTGGGCCTTGAAGGAAGCTGATTTATTGGGCAAGAATGCAGAAAACATATGTTCAAGGCATGGGAAATGGCCATCCCCATAGACGAGATCAGAGAATGGCTAGAACATAAGAAGAGGTCTAGTATAAAAGAAAGCTGGGAGGTTATATTGGAGTCAAGTTGTGAAGGGCATTAAAAGCCAGACTGAGTTTGTATTTTATCCTAGAGGTGAAAGGGAATCACAGAAGGGGTTTTTAGCAACCGAGTGATATGGTCAGATTTGTGCATTAGGATGATTCTGGTAGTTATGTTAATGATTGTTTAGAAAAAGAAGAGAGCGGAGAAAGGGTGAAAGAGGGTTATTTATTAGAGTCAAGGCCTGAAATAGGGCTAGAAACAATGTATATAGGTGGAAAGCAGAGGGATGGGAGAGAAATTGTGAAGAAAGAATAGACAAAACTTAGCACAAGTCAGTCAGTCAATCAAGGGATGTAGGACAAGAGGGAAAGAGTCAACGATGATCCTGAGATTTGAAGTACAAGTAACAGGGAGGATGGCAAAGGAGGCATCAAGACAAATTAGCAAGGTGAATGAAAGGGGAGGTTTTAGGGGAAAGATAATGTTTTGGACGTGATGTGTTTGAGGTGGTATCGTATACGTGAGGCTGGTGGAAATGTCGGACTGGACATTCAGGTTAAAGATCAGGCTGGAATTTGGGATCCATCCAAATAGGTGTGATAATTGAAGTCATGGGCATAGATGAAACTGCAAAGGGAAACAGCATAGAGAGAGAAGAGTCAGAGGGTGAGAGCCTAGGACAGAACTTAGAAGGACATTTATGTTTAGTAGGAGTAGCAGCAGCGGCAGTAATAACAATAATAACTAACACTTCTATAGCACTTTACACCAATCTCACTGAGCCTCACAACAACTCTGGGAGGTAGGGGCTATTATTATCCCCATTTTGCAGAGGAAACTGAGGCAAACAGAGGTTAGGTGATTTGCCCTAGATCACAAAATCCCAGTGCCTGAGGCTAAGAGGGAGCTATCAGACAGATAAGAAGAGAACCAGAAGAGAGCAGTATCATAGAAGCCAAGAGAAGTCAGAATAGCAACAAGGGGATAGTCAGCAATCTAAGATTTTGCACAAAGATCAAGAAGGATAAAAACATTAGCAGCAAAATATTTCCTGTATAACATAAAAAATGTACATTAACCAATGTTTAAAATCAAATTGATGAAGAGAAGGGTTTCATAGGATTTCTGCCCTTAGACATCATCTCGGTGGTTTGGAGGTACCACAGTTTAAGAAGGACATCAACAGCTACAGAATGTACAGTGGAAGGGAACCAAGATGGGGAAGGGATCCATATCACATAAAAAGCATCTGTAGGAACTAGGGAGAAAAAAAGAATGAAGAGTGACCTGAAAGCAGTATTCAAATATTTGAGGGGCTGGCACGTGGAAGAGGAACTAGGTTTATTCTGTTTGGCACCAGATATCAAAACCAGGAGCAACCGGGGGGGGGGGGGGGGGGGCG